TTAACAGCTTGGGAAAAATTTCAAACACCTAAACTATAGATTAGTCACAGTTCACGGTCGGCAAATCCGATTGATTTAATGTAATTTTAAAGAGGTTTACCTTTTCAAGTGCTTAATTATGCAAAATTAGTGTATACACATTATTTATATCTTAAATCCCCACAGGATGAAAAGGGTTCATTTTATTTTTTAAATTGATTGGATTTTTTTTTTTGGGGGGGGGGAGAGGGAGGGGGGGCTGATTCTATTTAAATATATTGTAAATCTTGTATTAGCAAAGCGTTGGTAGGAAATATTAATTATAGTGTTGGTACAGAATCAACCGTTACATGTTTGTTACACGAAGAGAAGCTAAGTTACTTAAACAGAGGGCAAGACTGTTACTAAATCAAGAAAGAAATGTTCAAACAACCCTTAATCTTGGTAGCAAAAAGTGTTAGGTAGCATAGTGGTTGTGATGATCTAATCATTTAAATGTGCCACCCCCCCCCCCCCCACCCCCCCACCCCTTTTTTTTTTTAATTTTTATTTTAATTTTTTTTTTTTTTTAAACGCAGGTACAAGTTCCACAACGGCAAGTGGTCAATCGCCGGCAAGGCTGACCCGGAGATGCCCAGACGGATGTACATCCACCCGGACTCCCCCTGCACGGGCGACCAGTGGACGCAGAAGGCCATCAGCTTCCAGAAGCTGAAGCTGACCAACAACATCGCAGACAAGAACGGTTACGTAAGTTGTTTGAATGCACAAACCCTTATAAACACGACCAGACACCCCGACACAAAGGGGGATCCAAAATTTACAAAGTGGATTCGTCACACTCTTATATTTAGATGCTTGCACGAAAGACGTCGCTCCTCAGACGCACCTTGCCTTGCGCGGCTTGGGAAACGCTAGGTCATTTCCATCCGCTCATAATGATGGGTATGAGTAAATGAATACATTTTCTAAGAGTATTTCTTCAAGGTCACTTTCATAAGTAAACATTTTTGTAGTTGAAAATCGCTCTCCTGACCCACCCACCCCCCCCCCCCTAACCACCCTTTTTCGGCTGGCTTGTGATTTGGTACCAATCGTGGCCACTCAAATGTTAATTTGAAAAGGAAATCTTAGTTGAGTTAATGAGTCTGATGAACTTAACAATCCAACAAAAAAAAAAAAAAAAAAAAAAAAAAAAAAAAAAGAAAACAAACACAAACCAAAAAAAAAAAAAAAA